AGTTGTCTGGAGCGTTCAGCTCCTGGTAGGGTCTCCCATGACAAACAGGTCCCAGGTGATGAGCCAGACTGAGAGCAATTCATGTGCACTGCAGCACTGATCAGTATTTACACTGTAAATGCTTCATTTGTTGTTTTTTATTTATTAAGAGCAATGTGCAGAAAGCAATTATTGTGCTTGTTAAACTTTGTTTTTAATAAAAAAGTCATTTGAAATAAAAGTCTTATTTTTTCTCTATTTAGGAACAAAGATTTCAGACTCTTTACTATCATCACACAAGTGTAACAACTTTAAAGCAAAAAAATGTTTTATTTTTCTGATTCTCCTTTATAGATGTGCACTAGCTGTACAGGAGAAAAGGGGATGACAGTTGAGTCAGTGACACACACACACACACAAAGTTGTGTATTTAAGGGAAATGTAAAGAGAAGCACAGAAACATTCACATCTCTGACACACCCAAATAACAAAAATGTCTTTGTTTCACTGACATGGAGTTCAACAGTTTATGGTCAGTTGGTTTCTCACACACACCCGAAGATGAAGTCAAATGCATTGATGAGTGCAGCAACCTGACTTCCCAAAAGCTGTACAAATGTGTAAAAAGTGAGCCACATCTGGTCCAGAGAGCACTGCTGTGACTTCATGTTAGACCCTCATCACTCACTGAGATGAAACAGAGACAGAAGATGATCACTTTATTTGAACATTTGATCAGGGCCTCAGTCGCAACTGTGTACTTATGCAAACTGTCGCGAAATCGATCAATGTAGAGCAGTGTCACAAACCACGGAGGCCCCAGTGTGATTGTAGCTGATGTTAGAAAAGCTTTAGAAAAGAGTTCCACCTCCACTACACGCTACATCAACACGTTCTCACTCCTAACTGGTCATATATGGACGCATGGTCAAGCTCCCTCTGTTTCACTTATCGACACACAGGGTACCCCCCTCGCGTCAAAAATTAACATGCAGGATCCGATTGAATACAATAGAGCCCCCTAAACATTGTTTAATGACAACAAGAGATTGAACAAGAGACAAGATGAGCCTGTTGTCCGTATATTTATATATTTCCGAAATCACATTGCAGTGACAAATACTGAACACAATAAATTATATAATGTAAACAACTACCTGAGAAACAGCAGATACAGCAGATAAATTAATTATAGGCTATTACTTTTGTATCGGTTACTGCATTGATGGAGGGAGTGATGCATGCTGGGTAATGGCACAGCTAGCGACTGGGTGACTTTATTCACCCGCTCGGCTGTTATCAGTCCATACAATGGGCGTTAAATAAAGTCACCCAGGAGTGAGAACGTGTTGGCTACATGCTACATATTACACGCAGTAATGACTGCAGCACTCTGGTGTCCTGAACGCTGTGTAAATGTGTAACTAAAGGTAAAAGTTTCTATGTCACTCTTCCAGAAAGGATTTTATTTTAGCATATAAATATATTCTTACTCTTTTCTCATCAGTGCTGTTCTCTCTGTAGATCTTATCATAAATAAGCAAGTCTGGGTTTTGTTTCTCTTTTTTCTCATGGGGATACATGTTTAGTTTCTTTTCTGTGAAAATGTGATAAAGATTTGCAGCATTATCTGTGGTCACAGTAAATTCACTGGAATCCTGCTCACCCAGTTCCACACAGATGAACAGCTTACCAGTTCAACAAAGTTTTGCCTACAGATTAAAAACCTGTCCAAAAACTGCTGACATCAAACCTGAGCACTAAAGACTTTCTGTATCTACACAATAAGTTTAAATGAAACCTGCACGGGCGTATAGGTACTCTGGCTTCCTCCCACAGCCCACAGATGGGTGACATGTGTGGTGTTTTATTTAAACGGTTTATGTCATTGAGATCAACACTTTTCAAGATAAACCTGTGTAGAAACTCAACAAACTACAGTTTTTACATTCATCTTACCTGTGAGCCATGCTCTGAATAACCCTCATCACTCAGGCTTCTGAGCCCTTTGTTCTCCAGTGTGTGTGTGTGTGTGCCTTTCTTTTGTATTATGTGGCATGAGTTCTCTTCCCAATCATTTTTTCCTATTGTTCTGTGATTTTTATTTGTGTGGATGGTTGCTTGTATTTTCGGGCTATTATTACTTTTCAGAACTCAACAACATTCACTGCAGCGTGTCTGTTAGGCCAAAAGTTTCTAGCATGTATTCATTGATTTTAAATAAAGATTTCTGTGTGTGTGTCTCAGATGGATTAACAGAAACGCTGCTGCAGGTTTCCTGTGTTAAAACTGGATGAAAAAAACATTTGTTACGATAAAAGGCTGAACAAAATGAAAGTGCTCGAGCTTCGGGCCCGTTTCATTTCTGATTTTAACCCTGTGAGGCTGCTCTGATCAACAACATAGACTTTTACTTACCTTTTTTTCTCATTATTAATTTTTTTTTTGTTGTTTTTTTTAAATCCAGAGAGTTGAGTGACAGGAAGAATCTCATTACCTCTGACACATGCACATGAACTGAAAACATCCCTTATTTGACTGGAATGCAGTTCAGCAAGCTAGTTTCTCTGAGGCTCCTGAGCTGCTGTCACATGTTTTCATCACCTGATTAGCATCGTTGTCATCATCCTGCCTACCTCTAAAGATTTCCTCCTTGCATTGTTTCGCTCATCTCTCTGTACAAACTGCAGTAATAGTGAAGTTCAAATCCTCTTTGACTCAGTTGTTCACAGACGTTGTTCTGGTCAAACAGAATTAACTATATACTAAAACTAAATAAAATAATGATAACAATTAATAAAATATGAACGACTCAGTACACAGACTCTCTTGCCTTGTATCCTGTGTGTCCATGTATGTTTGATATTACAGTGAATCTCCTGTTTCACTTTTTTCTGAAGAACTTATAATGACATTAGTCGTACTTGCACAGCACTCTATCATGCAAATTAATTCTGTAGCTAAAATGCCAACTCCACTACCACTGTCACCTCAACTTCAGTCTTCTGTGTTCTTCTTGTGTAAACAGCAGATGTACACTTGTGTATTGTGTATTTCAAATTTATATTTGCTTTTGATATGAAGAGCACAAAATTGACTACAGGCAAATTCCTTGTGCTTCTACTCAAAACAAACTCATGATTCAAACTTTAAGAATCTAAAGAACGTCTCACTGTCTGAAGGCAGGTTCTAATTGTTAAAGATGTGGGTAACGTTGATTTGAATTCATGTATTTATTTATTTAGTTATTTACTTTTTATTGATTGATTGACTGATTTTTGTTTATTAGTGGCCCTTTCTCTTCGTTTTCTCTAGTTTCACTCTCTGAGACAGATGATAAAATCATCATGTGATCAAAGTAAACCTGCTGAATAATGACTTTAAAAACGTCCTAAAAACACAGAACAGAAGTCACTCGGCTGCGTTACAGGAAGATAAAGTTGGACCTTATGTTTACAGAACTTATTTGTAGCTCATCAATTTAATACGAATGTTTAAGATTTCAAGTGTGGAGGCCAAGCAGTGAACCAGACTGAGTAACATTTAAATATTCTTGTATAGTTTAGTGGATCGCAGCCTCTGCAGTTGAAATGTTTCCTCGGGAGATCCTCCAAAATCTGTCTGAGTGACATCAGAAAAGTCACAGGTCACAGGTCTGTTGCAGGGTCAGCACACATTTACAGCTATACAGACACTTTAGGAGTTAGTAAACATGCTGACAGGCTCAGTAGATTCAAACCCCAAAACCTGTTGACTGTGAGGCGACAGTGCTAAACACTAAGCAACAGCAATCTCTGCAGCACCATGTCCCTTATTCTGTACACACATGTGTATAATATAGCATCTTAAAAGCCCATTCAGAAAGTGATGGTTACAACAGCTATCTTTCTTTAAATATCTTGAATTATATTAGCTTTTAATCTAACAGTACTAAAAATAATAATACACAAAAACAGACTTAATAAATCAAAATACATCTAAATAAATAAAGAACAATTAAGAGTACTTTAGACTAACATCATATAAATAGAAAGAATTATAAAAATAGTGTGATGATGAAATGTAAGGAGGTATTTTATCACATGGATTGAGCTCTGAGATAAGTACAAGCCAGAATATAGCTGATCTGATGGATAAAATCTTGTTTTACAGGGAAATTCAGAGTTTAATTTTAGTAATTAAACATTTTATTAATTAAACATTTTATTCTCAATCTTTTGTAATGTTTATATATTGTAATGTTCATATAGTTTCTATATATTATTGGTTGATGTAAGCTGATGTAAGATCTCCTGTTATGAGATCATCCAGAGTTAAATTTCAATATTAAACATTTTATTCTCAGTTTTTTAATGCTCATCCATATAGTTTTTGTAAGTCATTGGCTCTCTGCACATTTTATCATAAATAATGGAGGATATTAGCATGTCTGTGTTTTCAGTTTACCTCTTAACATGTTAATCTAACTCTTAATATATTAATATACTTACTAATAATATACTAGTAATACTAATAATAATACTAGTAATACTAATACTAGTAATATAATTACTTAATATATTAATTACTTAATATATTAAAATTATATATATATATATATATAAACCCCACACTGCCCCCTAGAGCCTGAATGATATTAATAATATTATTAATTAATATTAATAATATTATTAATAATATTAATCTTTGCTCAAACCCTTGCTGTAATGGCATTTTTTATAGAAGTCCTCGGCAGCTAAAGTCTTTTATTTTCTTATTCTTTTTTAATAATTCGAATGAAAGTCTCGGCTGTGTGGAGTGATCCTTGGTGGACACGCCTAAGCGGAAGAAGAAATAGTCCTCATATCAAATATTGCTTAGACTTGATCCTTTTGGTTGTGTTAATTTTTTCTGTTTTCTTTTTTGGTAATGACAGATAGATTTACTTATAATCATTGAGGTTACACACCGATCTTCTAATATCCTGATCAATAAGGTGAAACATATCACGCCTTTGCGGATTCCCGGTATCAATCCGCAAGCGAGTATAAATTCACAGTGCCCGGTAAGCGACGTTGAGGAATATGGTCAATAGATTGTTAAAATACGGAGTTATTTTTTTCTTCCTGCCTTTTTATTTTCTGGTTGTTGACGGTAAGTTGAAACCAAGTATTATTAATTAATTATTAACAGCTTCTACTTACTGGACTTTTTGAAAAAAAATAAAAGAAAACATTAGCAGCTGACTGTTTTTAGTTTCCGAGCCCCTTAAACAAAGTTCTTAGTAACTAAAGAGAGCAGAGATGTTTTCTTTTGTGACACTACGTGGTTTGAACTGTCTGCCACGAGGCAGGACCGGGCCAGACCATGCACAACCAGGTCTGCAGAGGATCATCTATACTGATCTTCCCTCCTTCCAGCATCTTTACATGTCCAGTTAGGACACGGGCATCTCTCCAGACTCCTCACATCCTCAATATAACCTATTCAAACTGCTGAATGAACATTGCACTGCTCAATTTTCCACTACTAAATTAATATTTAAGGTTAATCCACTTTGCACTCTGCTCTGTCGATTTATATCCATAAATTGTGCCCAGTTTAATTTAGTTTGCATAGTGATGACTTCAGTAATTTTGTAATTTTGATATTTCTTACTTTGAATTTTCTTCTCATATTTATATTCTGTGTGTGTGTGTGTGTGTGTGTGTGTGTGTGTGTGTGTGTGTGTGTGTGTGTGTGTGTGTGTAAATGTTTATATATTTATTGTTTAAAATTGTCCGTTTAAAAATGTTTCTTTTTGCATGGGCAAATTGCCGTGTTTACTCTTACTGAATTCTTGCTGTAAGAAATTGACCTTTTTAACCTCTTCACTTTTGTGACGTGTTTATTCTTTCAGCTCCTTTACAGAACATTCGAGCGCCTGGCAATGATCATGACTCAACTATAGAGCAGAACAGGGATGGAGTGCCCCCGCAGTCCATCCCTGGACTCGTCATAAGTCCACGTCCCAAGTGCGTGGATCCTCAGGACCAAGATAGATCTGTTGGACTGAAAGACGGTCTGTCTGTTTCTACTTTGCTCCCCCCTTTTGGTTCAGTACAGACCACTGGTTTCTATTTTGTGACTCATCAACATCATAATGACTGTAGATGTGAAGTCTAATCCCTTTAACCTTTCTGCTCTGTTTCTTTATTCAGCCCAGAAAAACATCATAGCTAAGTTAGAACAGAATACCATTCTGCCATGTCAAGTTTGCGTTAAGAACCAGGTGGATCTGCATGAGATGAAGGGTGGAGAACTGATTTTAATTCAGAAGCATGCAATAACTGCTGATGGTGGAATATCGGAGTGCTCTGTTGCCCAGAGAAAAGCAAACAGAGAAATAGCCAACTTAAACCTCATTGGCTTCTCCCTGAGAGCTGATCCTCCAGGTGCGCGTGTGTGTGCGCGTGTGTGTGCGCGTGTGTGCGTGTGCAACTCTTTACTTTACGTTGTGTCCATTCTTTCAGATTCCTTCCTTCGTTGCATGGCTGAAGACTTGAGCAGCATTCACCCACACAAACAACACCCATCTTTTAATAAGTGGATGTATCCACAGGACACAAAGATGAAGCATGTTAATGGGTCTTTGATTCTGAAGTCTTTGATCATTGATAACTGTGGAAGAGACGAGTTTTGGAAGGCCGTCAACAACATCACACTGAGTGTTGGTGTTCCTCCAGGTGAGTTGAGTGTGAGTGTGTGCTCAGAGGTGAAGCTGCTTCAATTCAATTTTATTTGTTTTATATGTATTAATTTTATTTATATAGCACCTCAAGGCAGTTCCTGGTTGTTGATGTTTGTTTCTAAAGATGTTGTTGATGAGACTTTGTAGAAAGCAGCTGGTCTGAGTGATGTGATCAGAGTGCAGTAGATAATGTCTGACAGCAGTTTGAAGAGGAAATGGATTCTGTTCTGTTCTTCACTCATCACCTACCTGACAGCTGACACCTCACACCTGTTTCTCACCTGCAGGTCAGACAGGAGGAGACACAGAGGACGGCTTCAGAGCATCCTGTAATGACAGCTTCTCTGATGGGTTTTCTTCTGCCATTTGAAATTTTATATTAAGAACTATTACATACATGTATCACCATAATTTTAGTGTAGGGTTTAAAATAAAGCATTAATTATTACTGCTACATATGATATATTGAGAAATAATATAAAAATTTCATAAATGGCCAAAATTCCCACTTGCCTAATAATTGTGCACACAGTGTATTTCTTGTTTAAAATTGTCTGTTCAAAAATGTTTCTTTTTGCATGGGCAAATTGCCGTGTTTACTCTTACTGAATTCTTGCTGTAAGAAATTGACCTTTTTAACCTCTTTACTTTTGTGACGTGTTTATTCTTTCAGCTCCTCAACACATCAGGATTGAGCCTTTACAGAACACTCTTGCGGCTGACAATGATCATGACTCGACTATAGAGCAGAACAAAGATGGACTGCGGGATGTTGGGCTCATCATCCTGCACAAACATCCACATCTTGAGTGCGTGGATCCTCAGGACCAAGATCGATCTGTTGGACTGAAAGACGGTCTGTCTGTTTCTGCTTTGCTTCCCTCCTTTGGTTCAGTACAGACCACTGGTCTCTATGATGCGTCTCATCAACATCATAGTTCTGCCACTTGTTTTAATTTCAAGCTATTTCCACTGTGTTCAATGGAATATAGCCAAACTTGCCAAAGGATATTAATTTTGTTCAAATTTTAAAATTTCAGTCTGAGTTTCTTAAATTAGCTTAAAATGGTCGAGCAGCAAAAAAACCTCACTCATTATCATAGGAACCATTTTCAGCCCCATTAACCACCATTATGAATGCTATTTTTCATTCCACATTTATTATAACATAAGTTAATGCATTCCTTTATGTTAGGATTTCATTTTGGACTACAGGCCTTAAATTTGTAAATTTTTTTTATTCATCCACCAGGTTGCACCATTTTTCCCATTGAAAGCATGCATCAAAATTCTATGTTTTAAATGTGCCCCTGCAAAAAGAATAATGATGGATCAAAATCAATGTTGGTACCAATCTAAAGGCCTGGTTATAATAAAAATCAAATATTACTTGAAATGTATTTTATAAAAAATGTTTACATTTTTGTTCTATAAAAAAACCATGCTGTTTGGTCTGCGCTCGCAGGCCTTGCTGGTTCAGAGACTTATTTCCGGTGAACAAAGCAAGACGATCAGAGATCGATCGGTTTTTCACTTGCAAGGGAAGCCCGCTGGATCAGGATCTTGGAGCTCCTTACCGATCTCAGCCAACTCCAAAGAACCAGCCTTCTCTTGCAGCTTTTTATTGAAATTGATACAGTTACAAAACACACACCCCATTGTAAACACCATGTGGTGTGTTGTAAAAATTAAAGCACCTCGTGTGTGTCTTCCTGGTGATCGCAAAAGGGTCATCTCCCCTCACCCCTGTATATGGCTCAACTCCTGTAATGGTCCACCCTGTACAAACACAGGTGAGCCCATAAAGGGCAGGAAGTAAACATTTCTTGAGCAAAGAAAACAGAATCTTCAAGTGCAATGTTCCTGCAGTTAAACACTATAGCATCCCCCAGCATTCAACAGGCAGGGAGGAGAATGGAACAAAAGGATGTCTTTGATCATGCAGTTTAACCAAGGTCCACAACTTTAAGCACAATAATGACAACATTTAACAATTCACTCCAACACATGCGGTTATGTAAAGATACTGGGATTTAAAGGGTTAAAACCCCCGAAATATAATTAAAACTTGATATGACTACTTATTTTGCAGAAGTAGTTTAAAAGAGTGACTTATTAAAAGTGGAAAAAATATATGTACGTTTTGGGTCCTTAGGGACAAGAACTACAAAAAGTTGTCTTTAAGGAACGCATAAGGGATAAGCACTCAAGTTTATACAGTTTGAAGTTGGACAATATGCGTAAAAATTATGATATGGCCAAAATTCCCACTTGCCTAATAATTGTGCACACAGTGTATTTCTTGTTTAAAAAATTGTCTGTTTAAAAATGTTTCTTTTTGCATGGGAAAATTGCCGTGTTTACTCTTACTGAATTCTTGCTGTAATGACTGTAGATGTAAAGTCTAATCCCTTTAACCTCTCTGCTCTGTTTCTTTATTCAGCCCAGAAAAACATCATAGCTAAGTTAGAACAGAATACCAGTCTGCCATGTCAAGTTTGCGTTAAGAACCGGGTGGATTTGCAGGACCAAGAGACGAATGCTGGAGATGTGGCTCTGATCCTGAAAAACGTGACAATTTATGACACTGGAACATATAAGTGTCGTGTCTTAAGAGAGAAGAACACTAAGTCCATCAGCATCATCTACCTTCATGTTGATCCTCCAGGTGAGTGAGCAGAGTTGAGTGTGTGTGTGATCAGAGGTGAAGCTGCTTCCTGGTTGTTGATGTTTGTTTCTAAAGATGTTGTTGATGAGACTTTGTAGAAAGCAGCTGGTCTGAGTGATGTGATCAGAGCGCAGTGATGTGATCAGAGTGCAGTAGATAATGTCTGACAGCAGTTTGAAGAGGAAATGGATTCTGTTCTGTTCTTCACTCATCACCTACCTGACAGCTGACACCTCACACCTATTTCTCACCTGCAGGTCAGACAGGAGGAGACACAGAGGACGGCTTCAGAGCATCCTGTAACAGAGCATCCTGTAATGACAGCTTCTCTGATGGGTTTTCTTCTGCCATTTGAAATTTTATATTAAGAACTATTACATGCATGTATCACCATAATTTTTAGTGTAGGATTTAAAATAAAGCATTAGTTATTACTGCTACATATAACATATATTACACGCTCGCGCTCTCTCTCTCTCTCTCTGCCTCTCTCTCTCTCTGCCTCTCTCTCTCTCTGCAATTGATTACTGTGAATCAGTGTGGTGTGTTTGCTTCCTGATTATATAAAAAAAAAGGGAGAAATATACTTTCCTACATATACTATTCTACATGCTTTTAAACCTTTTAAAATTACAATTCATAGTTTTATATGTGAATTATATAATGTTAAATTACTATTGGATCACACAGCTCAATTTAGTCATGGTTAATCCTCTCAAATATCTCATCTATACCACAACGGGAAAGATCTTTTGATTTTACCATGGCAAGCAGACGAATAGCAGGAAGTCTTGATCTGTACTTAGGGCTGATGTTACCTAAGGTGTAATAAATCAATAACAGCTTGTTCTTATTTGCCCGAGATCCAAGAGGATTGCATAGTTCAATTTCATCTGTATATAAAATCAACTGTAATGCTGTAGGGACTTAGGGCTGGGCCATATTATACCGTTCACGGTAATACCGGTATAATGTTAGGCAACGATAGGAAAATGAAATATCGCGATAGAATGGGAGTAAAACGCGCATGCGCGGTGCCTTTGTTTTCATACGCACATGGCCGATTGTTGAGTGAAACAGATGAACCAGAATTGGTTTGTAAAAATGGTGCAACTTCCGTGATGTGGAACTGGTTTGGTGTTTGTCCGTCAGATACACAACAAAGCACATTTTTTTGCAGAACATGCAAGCGGCCGTCGTTATTGTCATATTTGTCGGACTAAGATGCTCTTAAATCTGGGAGTAATCTGGGTCCTAAACTCCGTATGCTTCAGGTCAAACAACACTGCAGCATCACTTAGAGTTAAAAACTGTCTAAATTCTTTCATCTTTAATAAAACGATCAGCATTGCTGCTTTACCAGGTGTAACTATAAAGTTTAACTTCCAGGCATCCATGAAAACAAAAGTTATTACATTTAACGGAGTTAGAAGTTAGCAGGAAGCTAGCGGAAGTTAGCTCGCTAGTTTCGCTAGTTACCTAAGCATGATATTGCATGTTCTGACTGAGAGATTTCTGAAAAAAATCAAACGTACAGCTCTGCTATCACTTCCAACATAAATGAAGACAGGAAACTAAACAGCAGTGACGTTTGTAGGGTTACTGAAGTTGGGCTAGCTGGTATATAATGATGTGCTACGTGATCGCTAGCGACACAGCTATGTTAGCATAACATAAACAGTGAAGCTGGAGGACGAACACTAACACTTTTCCACTTATAAAAGTTAACGTGAAGGTTCTTCATGGTTAGAGACAAATGCAATCGCATGGCAGGATGCTGTAAACGGACCAAACTTCAGTCAGGAGAACAACTGAGATAATCCATCCACAATACGAGGTTAGTCATTAATATACTGCAACAACATGGGAATAGAGCAGCTGCCAGAGAATTCAACATTAATGAATCAATGGTACAGAAGTGGAGGAAGCAAGAAGAATGAGTTTAATAAAGTTTGATTTATCTGACTGCTTTGTTTCGCTTAATGTGCCTTATAATCCCGTGCACCTTATGGTCCGAAAAATACGTACTGCACACTGCAGTTTAATGTTGCAAAGCACCTCTTTTTAACTTCAGTGGATATTATACATGGTTATGCTCAGGATATGTCAGCCCATTTCTACTGGAAATGCCTTTTGGTTAAACTTTCAGCAAGGAATTTGCATTTGCACTGTTACATTTTTATAAAGCTTTAATGTACATAAAAACCAGCTTCTTGTTTAAGTGAAAATAAATGGAAGGTTGTCTTTTTGCGCTAGTAATGTTGTGGAGTTGTATTTTGTCTCGCATCAATTATATCGTCAGTTATATCGTTATCGCAAATTTTCAAATATATATCGTGATAAATATTTTTGGCCATATCGCCCTGCTCTAGTAGGGACTTTAATAAACAGTGGGTGCCACTTAAAAATGTCTCCATCAATGAAATCATGAAGAAAGCCATCCTTGCATGGCTTTGGCCTCTCATCAATCATTGCAAGCATTCTTGGATGTGATAGCAGCTGCTCCAAACTTTTCACCAACGGTATGTAATGAAAACAATGGTCTTTAATGGCAAGAACTCTGGAGTCTCCACGCTTCGAATAACAGACTGTTTGTTTTGTGACAATAATCTCTGGTTCAACTGGTTTTAACAGTTCTTTGATGGTCTTGTCCTGCAAATGGGTGGAAGCAATTTGAGTGAAAGGGTCAACAAACTGGTCAAATACCCCCACTGCATCACTCTTTAGTTGATCCAGGTCCCCAGAATGTCTCTCAATCATGTCACTCATTTGTTGTTTTAGGTGCTCCAATAATACGGCCTGATATTGCTGGATTCCACTCACGATGTGGTTAACAGCTCTCTGTGGAAGAGGAAAAAAAAAAGGAAAATCCTTAATTACAAAATTCATATGAGAACACAGTCAACATGCAAACTCACAGAGACACAATTTTTGAAAAATGAAACCTTCAGTTACATAAAGTTAGTGAGATGCAATGAGCAAAATAAGTTACCCCCACCACCCAATTTTTTTTGTAAAGAATAATATTGCCTTATGCAACGTTAAAACCTTGTTTTCACTTAATTATAATGCATTTTGAGGAATCGGATCATAGGTGGAAATGCAAATTAAAAATTTGTGTTGTGTGTATTATGTTGTCTCTATTATTAGCTCATGCTAAGGAAATATAGTGATAGGCAGATTTTGGATGCAACATAGATGTCTATTTCCATATATAGTGGGGGAGTGAGATCTGAGTGGTCACCCATGAAGTACATGGAGACACATTCTAATGTCAGGTGTTTCATTCACATACCTAAAGCTGTCCATTTATGATCAGATCATTCAGGATGCCAGGTCTGAACAGTGCCCAAGTTATAGCTTGAGCACTGTTAAGCATAAGTTAAGCATATTGCTTTTAGGTTCTATAACAATGAAATACAATTCAATGGAAAATTAATGGCATAAATTACCTGTGTCAGTCGATGGGTTTCCTTGGCTTGAAGAAGAAATGCAGTTGCATGTTTATAAATGTCAAGATTCAAGATCCTCTCCATCTTCTTGAAATCCACTCTGAAACAGAATAACAAAAATATATCTATTAAAACAGAAATAAATTATTGCATTGATAGGTAGCAATCACCAAACAATATTGCATTCATTAGTTAGCTAGATTCATGCCCATAAAGTACAAGGTAATTTTACTGACTGATGTCTTTAATTTGAGCTTTTAAAATGACAACTAAAATGACAAACAAAGCAGTACTTGATAATAGATTAAAAAGACTAGCAAAGCACATGGAGAGTTCAGTACAGTATAGTTTAAATTCCTTGATCATGCATGATCACCCCCAAAATTGAATTACTTGTTTATTGGCCCATTTGTGACATTTCCTGAAAATTTAAAATCTGTCCATAACTTTGAGTTATTTTGCTAACAGTCAGACAAATGCCACCAAAAACATAACCTCCTGAGTTACTAAGAAAAAAAGGTAAAGAAAAGAAAAACAAAAGATAGTTTTAGAAAAAAAA